CCTTAAGTTTGAGGGGTACATTTCTATCACATAACAAGCCCGATGCATTCCTCCACTTCAATCATCCAACTTGAATTCTGCTGATAATATCCCCATCTATTTCACCATCACTCTGAACAATAGATCCAAGATATCTAAAACGTGTACTCTTATTAATGACTTGATCGCCCAAAGTCACAATCCCTTCAGTAGGTCTATTACTACTAAAATTACACTCCATATATTCTGTTTTAGATCTACTCAAGCGAAAACCTTTAGACTCTAAGGTTGACCTCCATAATTCAAGTTTACCTTCAACTCCCTCTCTAGTCTTATCAACAAGAAGAATATCATCAGCAAAAAGCATACACCAAGGTACATCATCTTGCAAATGTCTAGTGAGAACATCCATGACTAAAGCAAATAGATATGGGCTTAAGGCTGATCCTTGATGTAACCCAACCGAAATAGGGAAATACTTGGTCAAACCACCTTGTGTTTGAACACATGTAATAGCTCCTGCATACATATCTTTAATGATTTGAATATAAGCATTATTGACTCCTTTCTTTTCAAGAACTCTCCATAGCACTTCTCTTGGAACTTTATCATATGCTTTTTCTAAATCAATAAATATCATATGTAGATCCTCCTTATTTTCTCTATATTTCTCCATCAAACCTCTTAATAAATGTATGGCTTCCATAGTCGACCTACCCGGCATGAATCCAAATTGATTTTGAGAAACATTAGTATCACGCCACAACCTATGCTCCATAACTCGCTCCCATAGTTTTAAAGTATGACACATTAACTTAATACCTCTATAATTCGTGCAATCCTGTGCATCGCCTTTATTCTTAAAAATAGGAATTAATACACTCATTCTCCACTCATCTGGCATCTTTTTAGTCTTCAAAATAGTATTAAAAAGTTTAGTAAGCCATGAAATTTCTTCATCTCCTAAGCATTTCCACACCTCTATTGGGATATCATCAGGTCCAACAGCTTTTCCACCCTTCATTTTCTTTAAAGCCTCTCTAACTTCAGTTTTACTAATACGCCGATAAAAACAGAAATCTTTACTTTCATTTAGGGTGCTAAGGTCACTATAGTCAATCTTATTTTCACAATCTTCATTAAAAAGTTTAGCAAAATATCTCATCCATCTTTGTTGAATATCATCTTCTAAGAAAAGTATTTTTTGATCTTCATCTTTAATACACTTCACTTGAACTAAATCCTTACTACTCCTATCTCTTTGTTTGGCTAACTTATACATATATCTTTCTCCCTCTTTAGTATCTAATCTATTATATAAATCACTAAAAGCTAATGCCTTTGCATCGCATATTGCTTTCTTAGCATCCTTACGAGCCACTTTATATATTTCCCAATTATCAGAATTTTTAAAATTAAACCAATTTTTATAACAAAGCTTCTTATTTTTAATTTTTTCTTGCATATTAGGATTGCACCACCAACTATTTTTACTATTGGGAGCTTTTCCCTTTGATACTCCAAGCACATCTTTTGCAGTATTCTTAATATCACTAGCCACTTTTTCCCACATAACATTAGCATCCTCATGCACAGACAAAATCTTAAGATCTAAAATCTTACTCACAAAAATATTTTGGTTAATATTCTTTAAATGCCCCCATCTAATCCTCGAAAAACGTTTTACTTTATTTTTTATTTTATGCCCCTTTATCTTAAAGTCCAAAACTAATAATCGATGTTGGGTACATAAATTTTCACTCGGAATAACTTTACAATCTTTGCAATCTAAACGATTTAATTTTCTAATAAGAAAATAGTCAATCTGGGTTGTATTATATCCATTTTTATAAGTGATGAGATGCTCATTCCTTTTCTTAAATAAGGTATTAGCAATTGAAAAATCATAAGCTAAACAAAAATCTAATATGGTCTTGCCACCTTCATTCGTCGTTCCAAATCCATGGCCACCATGAATGCTTTTAAAATCATCTACCTCTCTACCAACATGTCCATTTAAATCTCCTCCAATAAAAACTCTTTCTTCAAGAGGTATATTTTGTATTAATTCTTCTAAGTCATTCCAAAAATTTAATTTAGAACTTATATCCAAACCTACCTGAGGAGCATAAGCACTTATAATATTAACAATCTTATCCTCAACAACAATCTTTAAAGCTATAATTCTATCACCAATCCTATTAATTTTTATAACATTATCCTTTAAACTCTTATCTATAATGACACCTACACCATTTCTAGTACGACTCCTACCCGAATACCAAAGTTTAAATCCTAAACTATCGATTTCCTTGGCCTTCTCTCCAACCCACTTAGTTTCCTGAATGCATAAAATATTTAATTTCCTATGAATCATAATATCTATTAACTCCATTAATTTACCTGTAAGGGAACCTATATTCCAAGTTCCTATCCTAATTTTAGTATCATGGACTAGCTTCTTTGCCCACATCCGTCCTTGATGCGGGAACCCTTGCCTATTTAACACTGCACCCGGGCGCCGGTGCAGCGGCCCTTGCACACTTGTCACTCACTGTATTCAGGCCATACAGCGCGTCGCTTCCAGGGGACGCCCTAGCATTAACACAATTTCTTAAAGGATTCATGTCATTTTTGTTCGACAAGTTTTACGCTGGCTGTCGACTACCTAACGCAACCCTCCACTTTTCTCATCCAGGACTTGGGACCTGGCAACGGCAGTGTTAATTATTGGGATATTTTGATTTCACTTCATATCTTATGCTTTTTTATGTTTTATATTATTCACTCATTAGTATATAAAAATTTATTATTTTATGTTTACGCAATCTTTTGATTTTGAGGCTTACGCCTCAAAACGCCTTGAGGCTTACGCCTCACGCCTCAATACCCGAATACGCAATTTTAAACATTGATACACACAATTCAATAGTTACAAATTATAAAGCCATTCATCTACAACATTCACAATAATATTTCAAAGCTTTTATTTGTTATTTAGTAATTTTTATTAGTGTTAGTATACTCGTTAAAATATGTAAAATACTATATAATCGAAAATGCCCAATTAAAATTTAATTTATACATATTAATTGATCAAAATGTTTCATTCTATAATATATTGAAAGTTACATTGTCAAAGTTTTTTCAATCTTCTTAAACCTGAGTTTGTCAGACATCTAACTGAATAAAATATTAAAAATTCGCACAAAAGTCACCAAATTGAAATATTAAATAGATTAACAATAACCTACCTTAAGACACAATTTTTTCAACTGGTCTGTTAGGCAAAACCAGCTCTATGACATCCAAATCTTGCTTTCTCTCCCTATATTCTCACCCTCTCTCTCTAGTAGATTGTCCAAATGAGGAGAAATAGACTTTAGGAAATGAATTTGGATATTCATAGACCTAGTGTTGCAGCATTACCTTCCAAAACACCGTAGTGTTTTCAAGAGAAGTTTTCAGGCACTCAAACATAAAGTTTGGCGTTGCAGCGCCCCTAACTAGTGTCACAATGCTATGTGCTGTTACACGGAGCCGCCACACTCACTTTTCAGTGCTAAAATGCCGCCAAACCGAGAATACAGCGCTGCAGCGCTAAAAACCCAATGTCGCAATGCCCTAAGGAAAAAATTTAGAAATGCATAAATATTTCGCAAGTGCCAATTACACATGAATTCTTACTAGGTCCAAATTATGTTACTATAGGTAGTCTTATTACTGTCCTTGCACTTTCTCTCAGGTTTGTTTTGAGAACTCTTAACTACACTCAAATCCTCTCTAATTGCTAGTTCTTGCAACATCAATTATCATTTCCATAAATCTCAAAGCATTGTAGCATTTTCTTGTAGCATCCACGATGGTGGTTGGGAGTTTGACACTTGACCATATTGTATACCATATTTATTGCACGTGACAACTCGTGACTTCTTCAGGCATCGTAGTATTGTGCTTTATCCACTCATCAAGCTGCCATATTAAATATTTTCTTTATACGTATTGATCTATTTAGTCAATCGTACCAATGTGGCTAATTCTAGCAAGCTGGCATCATAACGTAATACTTGACTACCATTCCATCATGGAAAGCCAATCAAACGTACCTTCTTGCATTCATCTTAAGGGAAAATTCTATAAGATGGTAGTGAGGCCTGCAATGCTTTATGGTGCCGAATGTTGGCCAGTAAAAGAGAAGCATAATACCAAGTTAAGTGTGCCAGAGATGAGGATGCTCAGGTGGATGAGTGACTTTACCCTTAGAGATAGGATACGAAATGAGCATATACGTGAAAAGGTTGGAGTAGCTCCAGTAGAAGATAAGATTAGAGAAAGTCGCCTTAGATGGTTTGGTCTCATAAAACGGCGGCCTTGCGATGACCCGATTAGGAGAGTAGAGGTATTAGATTTGACTTATGTTAAGAAAGGTAGGGGTAGACCTAAAAAGACTTGGTTAGAAAATATTATGAATGACCTTTCTTTATTAGATTTAAACGAGAATTTGACTTTTAATAGGACACAATGGAGAAAAAGGATTCATGTAGCCGACCCCACGTAGTGGGATAAAGGCTTGTTGTTGTATAATAATTGTGCACCTTGGCTAATGTGGAACAAAAGTTATTCCTCTTTTAAGTAGTGTTCGAGTAACTATATAGACTTTTTTGGATCGTCAATGCAACTCATATATAAAACAAATATTCAATTTCTCATTAATCAAATAAGAGAAAAAATACTATTTTGAAAAAAAAAGAGAAATAAATATTGTTTCAGCTCGACCAAATAAATGGATGAAAATTAATTTCAGTTCAATTCCTTTTAACAATTCTGTTTTCTTTCCTTTTCATTTTCTCTTTCAATTCTCCAAACCAAACAGCGATGTAGTGTTAGAACTGTTTATTGCGTAATATTCTATACGTATATTCAGCAATCTGCTGGCTTTTTTCACATATTCCTTGAGCATTTTACTTCTAGCTATCCTGATAAAGATTAACCATTTTATATGATTTCTTCGCTCACCGTAGGGACTTGATCTGCCCGATATTATAGTCGAAGCAGAGAAGCTTGATCTTTCATTCGACAAATTACTGGCAATCCCAGAAGAGGATGATTGGATTTATTCAGATGGGAAATCAACTTCTTGTGTTGCTTTTATCCTGGAGATGTACAAATCTGCTGGGCTTTTCGATCCTTTTGCCACCTCCATACAAGTCAATGAGTTCACGGTGAGTTAATCAACCTAATATGCATCATATATATACCAGTATAAACATTCTCTTTTCATGAAAGTAGATAACTACTAACAATCTTCTGCCATGGATTCTACATGAATCTGCATATCTAAGATTTTGTTTGGGATGACTTTTTTACTGTTTCTTAAAGCAGCTTTTGAGTACAAAAACTTTTAACTTTTGTACTTAAAAGTTGTTTTAAGAAGCAGTAAGAAAACCGTCCCAAATGAAACCTAAGTTAAAGTCTCATACTGATGAATTTCTCTTAAAACACAGATTAAAGATGCTTATTCACTTAATTTCTTTGAGAACAACTATAGTCGACTGCCTGAGTGGTGCAACAAAGAAGACACAGTGAAGCTTCCTTTCTGTCAGATTAAAGGAAGATACAGGATGGAACTACCTGGATACAATACAATGCAGCCATATCCTCACATGAATGAGAACTGCCCATCGCTGCCACCAGATTATGACAGGCCGAGCTTTTGCTGAAGCTGTTGTTGTTCATACTGCAATTATACATCACTCTTAGTTTAGAATTTGTAGAATTTGTATACTTGTTTTCTGCGTGTATTGACCCCCATTCCTTGTATTGGCTTGTATATATACTTAACTAGGCTCCAATAACTCTTTTGTATAACATAATATTGTTCATTCAATACGAAGATGAATAGAAATGTGGGCATATTTAACTTGCATTTTTCTTTTTCTTAAATGTATGTTCGCACTTTTGTGCCAATAAGCAACTCTTAGGGGCTGTTTGGTAGCACCCAATATTTGATTTTAGTAGGATATCATAAATCCGCAAAATGTGGATTTTGGAAATCCCGTGGGGCTTAGTACATTCACAATAAATCAAATTAAATCATGTGTGATTGTTTGACTATAGAACAAATTTAACGAGCAGACTCTTCCTCTCGAGCCCACGAATTTTGTAAATCCGGCAAAAAACAGGATTTCGGAAATCTGGGAATTAGCACGAAAAAGGTGAAATTTTTTGTCTGTGGCAGCTTTCATTTGTCTTGAGATTTGATTTTGCATTTTAGGCCGTTTGGCTGGATTTCGCTCAAATTCGGCCTAAATCCTGCTACCAAACAGCCCCATGAGTCGCCGTTTGGTTTTCAGCATTCCTTTTCAGCAAAACCAGTTTAAGTTGTGAAAGCAAAGTTGGATTAAAAGCAAGCGCAAAACTTGCAGAACCTTACTCATCTACGGCTCTTGTTTTGTTGTAAGCAAGGTTTAATAGCGAGAAAATTAAAGCTGTATATTGTTTTTGGCTAACTTTACTGAGGGTGTGTAATTGGAACTTTTATTTGGTCCGGTTTAAGGATGCAGAGGAACATCCGGTTGTAGGCAAAATCCCGCCTATACCGAGGTGTACCGAGTTTTTTTTGGAAAAACTCGGTACACCTCGGTATAGGCGGGATTTTGCCTACAACCGGATGTTCCTCTGCATCCGGTCGGAGGACGTAATAATTGTTCGTGTAATTGAGCCGAGTTGGATCATAAGCCATCTCTATATAGGATTTGTGGTCTACAAGTTACTGAGTTGAGTTGACCCTTATAATGATTTATTAGCTTGTTAGTCAGCTCATTAATTAACTAAAAAAAGAAATGTAATTACTAGAATTAAATGATTCATGTCATGATTGTTCGACAAATTTCATGTTGGTTATCAACTATCTCTAGCAACCCTCCATTTTTCTCATCCAAATTTGAGATCTTTTTTTTTGGAAAAAATTCACAGTAGAAGCTTTAGAAGCTTACTCGTTAATTAAAATCCAGGTTACAAGTCCTTAATAAATCCAAAGCCCTATAAAAATATAACATTTAAATTAAAACTTACGAACTTTAGATTCAAATTAAATACATGATCTTTCTTGCAAAAGAAGCTAAAAGGCAGAACCAAAAAGCAAAATCACAAAGAGATCTAGCAAACAACGGAGTGGCTAACTGGAAGCAAGCAGACCTAACAACACTCAAAATCTTTATCAGCACTAGGTATCCAAGAAGACTGCACCTGCATCAACGGTAGCAACCAAAACAGCGCCCAAATGAAAGGTCAAATGACCCAACGAGCAGCATCCCAACGAACAACCTCCACCAAGAGCAACCAAAGCTACCCGAAAACAACTCCAAATAAGAGAAGAAAACTTGCAAGGAACACGAGGCAAAAACAAGAGGAGGAAGGGAGAGCAACCCACCCCCACAACCAACACTAAAAAACCACCAAAATAATGACCAACAAAATACAACCAGCATAGAACAGAGGGAACCAATAACAAAACCACTAGTCAAGCAAAAAAGAAAACAACCAAACAGCAAAAGGCTACTTTCTAGATTTCCTCCTACAACGCTTACTGCCACGAGAGAGCGCTTTCTCAGCAACCTGACAAACATCTAAACCATACAAATCCTAAAAAGACTTATCTTGCTCAACATCTAAATCTTCACCCACCTTACCTCGTGATGATGGAGACCCATCATGCCAAACCGATCCAAAATTTGGGATATGATTAAATGTTAAATAATTGAATAATTAAATGCAATTACTAGAATAAAAAATAAATAAATAAATGCAAAATCATTGCGTTGCTTTGCCTCCTTGCTTCTTTTTTATCGTTAATCTTTAGCTTTAGGTAATTGAGTCGAGTCAATTTTGAGTAAAAGGTGACTCAAATTGGACTCAAATCAATTGAACAAGTAATTATCCACAGTTAGGTGAAATGTTCACAAATGTGCATAGAACCTCAGTGGTGACTGTACACAAACAGCCCCCTAATCTTTATTTTATTTAGCATTGAAATTGCTTCCAAGCAACCAAAACAATTTTTTTATGTGCATCTAAAAACAGTTGGTAGACAAACTAATTCTTCTACAATGTATATAATAAAATTAAAATTAATTAAAAAATAATGGTACTGCTTGAATAAGATTTAAAATATCAAAATAAATAGCCATTTTTTTTCAAAATTTAATAAAATCTATTAAATTTGAATTTTACATGATTTGTTAAATCTTACTTGTGGCCAAAGGCCCCTTTGAGTGTGATAAATATCATATGCATTTATTAAGAGAAGTGCTCAATGTTAGCTTTTTCAATATTTATTTTTTATATTAATAAATTATTATCTGATATAAAATAAAATATAGAATTAAAGCCCCATAAATTCAATGAGAAAAAAAATGATAAAGTATAAATAATAGTAAGGAATAAAATATGAAATAAAATATAAAATTAAAGCCCCATAAATTCAATGAGAAAAAAATAATAAAATGTAAATAATAGTAAGGAATAAAAAAAGGAAAAGAGAAAACAAATGAATGTCACTATATCTTCTATTTCACTCTAAATAATGCTAAATAATATTCATAATTTTCACCTAAATCTTGATGTGATTAAGCAACATAAACATTAAAAATAATATATTTTTTTTCAAAAATCCACATTCCTTTATTTTAAATTTGAAAGAAAATCTTGAATAAATTAGCATTATTCTTTCACTTCATATTTATTATTACTCACAAAGATCATCTGATATATATCAAGTATTTATAAATCAAATGCCAACCACAATGAACCAAACTATTCGGACAACTAAGACGGCCCAAACTTGGCCGACTTTCCCTTCTGACTTATCACAACTGGTCACACTGAGTCGGCTGGAACAACACGGCTTCCTGCTCCAAATCATACAAAACATGCAAATTCTGCTGCTGAAAATTCCCGAATATCGACATTCCGCTCGATCCCATCACCGTCAAACATAACAATCCCGTCGACGAGTCCAATACAATGTAATTCTCCGCCGGTAACTCCAAATCTCCTACGCCGCTGCCGCCGGCGTCGAAGTGCAGCACCAGCTTCGGAACTTCCACCTCGTCCTGCCCCGCCGGCGTCGAAAAACAAACATCTAGTCCTACGTCACTGCCGTCCGCTGCTGGCAAATTCACCCCATCCAAAAACGCCTTTTTTACCTTCTTATAACCTGCCTCCTCCAAATACGTTATCGAAGTCCCCGAATCAATAATAACTCCTCCACTTCCATCACTCTGCAAATCAAATGTCCCATTTGGAATCGCCAGCTTCTTCCCCCCGACGGATATACCCTGTAATGACAGATAATAAAAGCTGGGTTGCTGTTCATTCTTCAAAAGCTTCGCCGTCGTGCTCGCTTTGAGCTCCGCTAGCTCGCCGAAGAGTAAAGGACTCGCCTTTGAGTCATCCAACGATGTAAGACAGTAAGAGAAGCGGTTGAGTTTGAGTTGAGAGATGAGGGAAAGAGGCCCCCGGCCGAGTCCGACGAGTCCGCCACCTTGTGAAAAGCCGGCTCCTTGGTTGTCGTCGCCACAGCCGAAGGCGATGGCTGGCGCGGCTGTGGGGTCCGGCGAGCCGATGCGGAAGGTCTCGGCCGCGAGAACGCCTTCGGTAGAGGAGGAGTCGCCGTAGGTGTAGAGGTAGTTGCAGAGACCGGAGGAGATGGAGCAGGAGGAGGTGGGGAGGGCGGCGCAGAAGCTGCTGGAACAGGGGAGGTTGGAGTAGGAAGAGGATTTTTTTGGGTTGAAGATCGGCGTCGGCTGGTTGAAGCAATCGCTGCAGGGTAGGCATTGAGTCCAGATTAGATCACTGCCGGTGTCGACGATGGCAGAGAAGGCTGCCGGCGGAGTGCCGATAGATAGGTCCATTAGGAATTCGCCGTTGCCGGCGTGGACAGGCGCCTGAGAAGAAATTGTTTTAACTCAGTGAGTAAGAGTTTTGAAGTCTCTATAGCTAAAATAAGAATCGAATTATAATTCCCCAATCTAAAGGCAGAAACAGCATCATTTGAATTTTAGATTCAATCTCGACCATTCAAAATAAGTTAGGGGGATTTACATAAATATTACATAGTTTATGTATATTTAAAAATCTATTTTTATAATATTTTAATTACATCAAACATACATATATATAAACATTTCACTTAAAAATTAATATTTATAATATTTTTTATAATATTTAAAAATTCAAAAATATTATATGAATAAATATAAAAATATCAGATATTAAGACTACAAAGGGTATATATATATATATATATATAATAACTAAAGATAATTATTTAGCCACATAAAATTGTCATTAGGATTTATTAATTACACAATCAATAGTCATTTTTCCTAAAAAAATGTGAATATAATAGCTAATATATACTTACAAATATTTTTTTAATCACAATTTTAAGAAAAAAATGATAATAATTTAATATTGAGTTATAATTTTAAATAATATATAATTATAACTTGAAATTAACATAGTATGTGTCACATACCGAATATTGATCTGTGGGAGGAGAGGCTGCAACGGATTTAACTGATCCAGCGATCAGCCGTGCTAGACGATGATGACTACGTCGTGTGGCTCGTTGGAGAAGCTCAATTTTGGTATAGTTACCGTTGGCATCAACACGAGTCAGATCAACACGAAACCCGACTTTCGGGGTTGGATGAGCCCTGATTTGAAATATGATGATCGAGAAGGCAAAGCTAAGGAAGATGAGCCTCCATGTTGTTTCCATGGAGGAGGTTTTGAGGTTATCAGACATAATAAGCAAAGGTAAGATTGTTATGGAGATATGGATATATATAAGTTAGTGATCATTTATTAAGGTAAGACAAAGGCTTAGGAACTCTTTGATACATTATTCTCAGCTAATTTATCTTTTTTATTTTTGTGGATCAGACGGCTCTGATTAAATAATGGATTTTGGTGAGCGACATTAGGACTTGAAAATGATGGTGGTGGAAGGGGTTGTGAAGAAGGGGATGTTAGTTCTTGATTGGTTTTCCAGCAAGATATGATGCAATCAGAACCGTTGATGGGATGATGGACGGTGGATTGGGATTTAGGTTTGGTGAGCGGTGGCGTGTGCGGGCGGCTTTTTTAAAGAAAATCAACGGCCAATAATTACAATGGAAAGTAACACATCACCAGCTGAAAATCTTTATTTATTTTTATTTTTTAAAAGTGGGAATGACGTGTAAAATATTTTTTGTTGAGTTTCTCCAATAAAAAAAGGTTAGCAGGTGAACGACCATCATGAGTTTCTCCTCCTTAGTTAGGAATTTAATTAATTGAATTACCATAAAGCGTTGTTTAAATGATTTAATGAAATAAATAAAAATGAGATTTTTTTTTGGGATATTTAGATCATTTAAGGCAAACTCATACACACAACGCATACACATAGACTCGAACCCTGAACCTCTTAGTTGGAAGCCTAAGCTCTCAACCAATAGGCCAAGAAGAGTTGTGTAATAATGAGATTTTAATTTGAATATTATTTTTTGAAAATTTATTTTAAAAATATGTTGATTTGAGTGTATCTGAATTTTTATATTTTCGTGAAATAGAAAAGAAATTTAAGATATGTTTGAGACGGTCGTTCTAGAAATCAGATTTATAGCACATAAATTTATTGAAAATATGAAGAAACTAAGGCATTGGTTGGGACAGCTTTTTTTACTGCTTCTTAAAGCAATATTTTAATTTTGTACTAAAAGCTGTTTTATAAAACACTAAAAAGTCGTCACAAACGAAACCTAACAGCGAAAAAGAACTAAAAAAGTTGTCTTAAATGAACCTTTATTTTTTGCCGGATCAGTTTTTCAAGGTGAAGAGATGAATATAGAGAAGGTGAGATCCATTTGAGTTTTTGTAGGTCAACTACCAAATTGTTTAGAAAGAAATCATTTTGTTTAACTGTACCAAGCACATTAGGTTTGCAATTTATAAGAGCTTTGATTTGATTTTTTTTTTCTGATTATAGCTGGAACAGGTTGATGACTGTTCTTTGCATGACATTTGAAAATGTGAAAGGGTTCATGAACATTGATGAGGGCCGGGCTTATTTGGTAGCTTTATAAATAAAAATATATTTCAAAAAAATCAAAAGTAAGCCCTAATTTCATGAGAATCTTAAGAAAAATCACCCAGAAATGAAGAGATACCTAATCATGATTTATGTGGAGGAGTAACCAACTGATGTTACTTGGTTGTTATTTTACCATGATTTCTTCGTTGAAGCAATCGGACGGTTCCTAAGAGAAGATGTCAAAAAATAGATCATGCTGACGTTCCACATGATCTAAGGGCGGCTTATTTAAAGACTGCTCTGCCACGCACTTGGCCTGATCTAATTAGCGGAAAATTTCGGGCTTATTTAGCGTGACCATTTGGTCGGCATTAAAATAAAATAATGCACCACTACGTACATTTGACCTGCTAATTGGAACTTATTCATAATTATTTAGTTAATTAATCAAATAAATTTGTTTGAATATTTAGTAAGCTCCTAATACTTATTCAGCTCACTAATAAATTGGTAGATAACATTATTTATTAATAGACTTGCTAAGACTTTGCGTTCTGGAGTATTCACGACGGTAGAGAAATATAAAGTTTAACGTCTTAGTTTTGTACGAAGATCCAGCACACAATTAGATAAGAGAGATGGTGCAGCATTTATAAGAGACACCAAAATTTTTACGTGAAAACTCTTGAAAAGGAGGAAAAATCATGAGGCCTAGCCCAGTTGGAATAAATCCACTAATATTTGCATTTGATTACAAACGAGGCCCTTCCTTGGGGGAAAGGCCTTCGCTTGATGTACATCATATGAAGTACATTACATGTTGAGAATACAAAGAATCACTGTTGACGTGTTCATTTGGTCAGAAGGACCGTAATCTGGTGACGAAGGTTGGAAGGACTGTAGCCGGTGGGCGACGTAAGTTGAAAGAACCATAGTTGGCGGGGCGACGGAGATCATAAAGACCATTGTATGACGACGGAAGTCGGAAGGACTGTAGTCGGCAGACGACGTAAGTCGGAAGGCCCGTAGTCGGCGGGCGACAGAGGTACGAAGGTCATAAAGATCATTGTCTGACGACGGAAGTCGGAAGGACTGTAGTCGGCAGGCGACGTAAGTCGGAAGGCCCGTAGTCGGTGGGCGACGGAGGTACGGAGGTCATAAAGATCATTGTCTAGCGACGAAGGTCGGAAGGACTGTAGTCGCTGGACAACTTAAGTATGAATGATTGTAGTCGTTGAGTGAGTTATTAATAAACTCAAATTTGTGACATTTGGTTTCTTAGACTTACTCGAAAACAAATTGGAAGAAATAAATCATTGTATCTTAGAAATACAATGAAACAAATGATCGTGAATGTTAATAAACGGATATGAAATCCATTCCTTCCCAATTTTTTAAGTTAAAAAATTAGTACTATTGAATAATTAAATCAAAACATGAACAATTAAGTGCTCGAATTTTGTAATAAGGTCACAAAGTTTATTGTTCATTAAAGAATTGATTGAAATTTTAAAATCAAGATATAATTAGTGAGATGACAAAATTACTTAGCTATAATTATTAACTTTTTATGAAAGATTATTTTGTATGTAATGATTAAATCAATGAATAATTCAATCTTTTAAATTGAGTAAATTATACTATAAATTCAAGAGTGCAATTTTATATTTATAGTACAATAAGATTGAAATTAATAATTTTAATTTATTAGTTTAAGAGTTAAATTACTGGTCAAATTTATTGAACTTGAATTATAGATCCATAGGTTCATTCTTCATCATCTTAATCCTATTATATATTAATTGAACACTATTATTAAGAATGTAACATAACATAAATGTTAAATTATGATTATATAAATAACACCTTTATGTTATAAATACACATTTTATTTTCATTATATAACATTTCATAAGATGATGATGTGTCATGATAAATATATTTTAATATTAAAAAATAAAGATAATAATGTATCATTACATATAAAGATGATGATGTATCATGATAAATATCTTTTAATATTAAAAGATAAAGATGATGATGTATCATTAAAAATTGAAATGATCACGCGTCATTATCACACATAAATATCTTTTAATATTAAAAGAAAAAGATGATGTGTCATTAAAAATAGAGATAATAATGTCTTTATCGCACATTATAAATATCTTTTAATATTAAAAGATAAACATGATGATATATCATAATAATTATCATTTTAATATAGATTAAAAAATGATTCATAAATTACAAAAAGGTGCTTATATAAAGAGATCCAAATTAAAAAGATGTAAACTTTTCTTATAAAAGAATGAATTAAGTTCTCATGAGACACACATAAGAGATGAAAAATGATATATGAAAAAAATTAGTCTCTTAGCATTTTATATTGAGAACAAAAATTACATTCAAAAGAAAGAGTGTTCATTAATAATTGATTGAATGTGCTCACTCACTAAAATATATTTGATTAGGTGATTAGATAAAAAAGACTTATGGTCTCAATCAACATTTCGAAGAAGAAGATTTACGATCTTAGTCAACATTTCAATAAGTTTTCTTTATTTCATATTTTTAAAAAAAAATTTATTACAAAAATTAAACTTAAGAAAGTCTCAATTTAATTTTCTAAATCTTGTTTTTCATTTCCCCTTTAATAAATGGATATAAAGATCCAACAGCAACATGTAGCTAATGCAGCAGATAGGTTCTAATTATGCTAAAGCCACAATAAATTTAAGCTAATATGTTTAAGACAAGATTATATCATTATATGTACCAAGGCAAGACAATGAACAGAGCCTTACATGGGGTCCTGGTTAGGTACCCGTTGGGTACCCATGCTCTGCGCTGGTGGGCTTTGCCCACTCACGCCCACTTATGGTGATTTTTGAGATGTCATACCCACCCACACCATCCACTTTCCATGCTTCTTGAATGCAGTCTGCCACATATTAATGGCCTTGAGGTTTTTTGCCATTTTCTCGAACTGCAAACTTTCAAGCCACATAAAAATTTATTGTGGTCGCGACGCAGTTCAATGTTGCGCACTACGTAGTAAGGATTTTGTAATATACTGCATGCATATGGTGATTAGTAATATAAATCAAATTGTTCTCTAATGTTGAGTACCCATTTATACCCACCCACGAGGCCATGGGCGTACCCATACCCACCCATGCCCATTGGGTATGGGTGGATACGTGGGTGGGTAGGAGCATGGGTACCTAATTCAGGGCTCTGCTCTGCAAGACATTGCCCACAAGTCTGGTTGGGTCATGCCAGTTAGTGTAATCTTGCACTCAAATCTAAGAATCTTATATGTTCTTTTCTCACGTTTCAGCAACAGCTTACTTGACATCTTTTCATTCCAATGGTGAAAGAATTCATAAAACATTTATCTGGTAAAGATTGTTAAGGCATAAACACAAATCTGCACTTCAATCTTTAATTGTGCTACAGATTGTCTAAATTAAGAGAATCCATTTAGATAGTCCAACAAGAGTCTTAACCATCATTAGCAGAGTTGATTTCATTGCATTTACATTAAGTCTTACGAAATGGGAGGTCAGAGGTATTCTAAAGTACCTGAGCTTCCCTTTAGCTTCGGTGCTTCAACTACGTATAAATTCAGAAAGTTGAATCTTAGAAGTTTTTTTAGCATTCAACAAATCTAATAAACGTTGAACCCTAATACTTCTTATAAACACATAATTGTAGAGCATTCCAACAAGTCTTTTTAAGCTTACTTTTCGTGTTAGCGGATTGGATGATACTGTGCTGACACTCTTTTGGGAGGTAACTTACGGAGGATGTACAGAACAAGTGCTGAT